GCAGACACTCGTATACAGGTGGTAACCGGCTCGAGAGACGAGAGTTTGAAAGTTGCACACGGAGTTTGGCCACTGCAAGCTCACTGTCAGATCTACTTCGAGACTGGACAGCTATGAGTGTAGTTTAATAGGTCCCACAGCTGACAGGCCGAATATCAACGAAAACACCACTCAAATGTTTAACTGAAAGTCTTAAGTAAGTCTGGATCTTTGCATAAAACTGCGGTCTTACAGCTGTCCAACGCTATTTTGCTGATTGGTTGTGCTTTAAGTGCTCGGAACATTGTTAGTCGAGAGCACGAAAGTGGCTGCTTGCTTACTTCATTTAATAATTGTACGCGAAACGCAAGGGGAGGTTAGACCGAAAAATACCTTCCTTTAACTGGCTTCTTTCCTGCTATTAGATTTAAATTATCGTACTTGCTGTCAAGGCTTAGAATCAGTGAGTACAAGATAACGAAAGCAAAACTGATTCGCACTTTAAGCAGCTTGCGAGGAAAACGACTATTCAAGTAACTGGATTTTCATATGAAATACACAAGAATGTTTACTTGACACCTATATGGATATTTTTTACAACTATTTCGGCGATTCTGTTCCAATAAAGTTCATACTGACTTTTCGAAAATGAGCCAACTATGTTCAGTACTTGACAGAACACACAGTCAATCTCCTACAGTTTACACCGGATTTTAAAATGGAAGAATGTCATGAGAGAATTTGAGTGAACTCCAAAAACTGGATATGAAGAGGAATGTATATATAATAAACTCATCCTACCGAATTTAGAAGCAGGCATAAAATACGAGGCTAAATCTGTATTTGTCAACCTCACCTTTCAATATTTTTGCTTTTTTTTACTTATGCAGATAAACCAGATGCTTCCATCGCTATTTCGTTTGATCCGCCGTTACCAGAGCAACACTTTTCCCGAGGAAACTATACAGCCTTGCTCTCCCTGACAATTAATCAAAATGATGCAATTTTTGAGAAGTGGCTGCGCTCTACGAAGGATAGGAAATCGCGCAGTAAAATAGAGATTCATCAGGGTAAAGATTGGAGAATAGAACCCGTCAAGGAGGGCCACGAGGGGCACGTGCAAATTGTGGCCATGTATGAACATCCTTTTATGAATCTTGATCCCTCAAACACAACAATGAAGCTGCGGCCGGGTTTCTACGGAGCAAAAGTTATTCGCGTCACCAGTCTGCTCC